TTGTAGTTGCCTTGGCGAAGAAGGATATCACTTGATAGGAAAGAGATTCATGGAGATAGCAATGAAAGAAAGCTCACCTAAAGAAAAAGAAAGAGAAATCAGCATGGAAGGAAAACTGAAAAAAAATCCAAAATAAATGCAAAAAGGCGGTCTATGGTGGAGTATTATCTGATAAGAGGATGAATGCTCATGGAGTCTTGTAGAAAGTGAGAAATTTCTGGATAGGTTTGAGATACAAAGTGAAATGGATTGAAGAAGAAACTTTGTGGATTGTTTTTAAAAAAGAAAAAGATGTGTGTTTGTTCCTTGATCAAGAACCCTGGAACGTGAATGGTTACCCGCTTTTGCTGCAAAGATGGAAACCTTCAGTTCCTTTAAACAAGCTTAGTTTTGGGGAGTTGAGGATTCTACAAGTTCCAGTCGACAAAAGATTTTGGGAATGGGGAGCCAAACTAGTATCGGTGGCAAGAACGCCAGTCAAAGAAGGTAGGGGAGAAGGAGAAGGAGAAGGTGATTTTTTAAAATCAAGATAGTCTTAGACATTAAGAAACCTTTGGGGATYAGGAACTATGATATAGTGGAAAATAGGGAGAAAGAATGGTATAGATTTCAATATGAAAATCTTCTAGTGTTCTGCTATAAATGTGGACTGCTAGGACACGAGGAACTGGATTGTAAGAGTATCTCGAGTGAACAAGTATTACAAAATCTATCCAATACAATGGTTGGACAAAGCTTGGAACAAGGGGAAGGTGAGAGGTTGAACTATGGGCCAAGTCTGAGAGCAAAGATGGAGAGAGATAAGCTCAAGTTCATAAATAAAAGAACATAAGGAATGAAGAAGAGAGAGAAGGAATATAAAAATCAAGAAGGCCAAAAGGAGGGAAGGAAGAGTGATATCCTATATTTAGTTCTCGTAGAGAATCAAAGTAAAGCTGAACGAGTGAGGTTGGAGCGAGAGGAAGAATCAAGGGAAGGGTCACCGGAGCACGTATCGGATTGATCGGTCTTTCCAAAGACAATAGAAAAGTGCAAAATAAGATTGTTCTAGGAAACCAGTGATATTAATGCACATGTTAGAAATTTGTTACAAAAGGAAGGCTCATTCCACTTGATAATATAACTGGAGAAAACCAGTAGGTTATTGGAGAAGGTGGCCAGAAAAGAGTACGGGCATTGAGGTGACGGTTGAAGTGGGGAGTAACTCGAGGAGAGACAACATCTTGTCAGGGTTAGATCAAGGGGAGGATTCACGGGCACCAAACAAACTAGAGTGGTTCAGGCTTGATGAGGTGGAAAAATGAACTGATGTAGAGAAAGTATTAGACGGTACTGAAGTAACTGGGAAAGCGACATTTGAGAAAAGGGCCGCAAAAGGGAAGGAAGAACCTATGATAGTGACTGATGGGTTAGAAGAAGAGTACTTTTATAAGAGTTAGAGGAAGAAAAAAGGAAGTGGGGTGGTTATCCGTGAGTTGGATGGAGGAGAATAAAAAAGGGTTAAAATAAACCCGAATGCTTACACCAAACGGGTCAGGCCGAAGGATAATCCAATCACATGGGAGGAGGCTGAATATGAGACTGAAGATTTCGATATAGATGAAATACTTACAAAAAATGGTTGTGATTGCAAATTTCCAAAAGATGTCAACACAAGGAGCCAACGACTKATATGGAGGTAGAAAGCTTGATAGCTGCCCTTGCTAGGAGCCCAAGAGAGCAACGCTTAGATGAGGTATGCCTCTCTCATGAAGCTCTTGTTATTAGTTATTTTCTCTTGTAAAATAATGGTTTCTATCTTAAATGGAGAAAAGCAAAAGGAAAATAGGCCATGACTAGTTTTTTTACTGAATGGAAATGGGATAAGAGGAAAAAAAATCTCCCTTGCAGAATGTAAAAAAACAAATGGAGTGAAGAAAAAGGGAAGGAAGAAAAATCTATACCACTTAAATAAATTACTAAGGAATGTATATCGGAAAATTGCAAAAAAATAAAAAAAAGAAGTCGAGATAAGGAAAAACAAAAAAGAAAAAAAAATAATAATGAATTAAAAGAAAAGGTGGCAAAATATTTTCAAAAACTGTCTATGGACGATGGAGTTTATAATATAAATGGTTTTGCTACCCTACAGATAAAAAATTTTATTGGTGTTTTTGAGTTTTCAAATGAGTGGGTTTGGGGTCCTATCCCACAATAGGCCCTAGGTGTGAAATGAAGCTATTAAGTTAGAATTGTTAGGGACTAGGGTCTACCCTGACAATCCAAGCCTTAAAAGAGACCCAAAATAGAATGGGAGTTGATTGTATTTTTATTATGGAAATCAAAACCTTGTTACTAATTTGCAGGAAAATAAAAACTTAATTTTTTGAAAGATTGGAAATGCTGGAGGGGGGGTTGATTCGGTTGGGCTAAGTGGTGGGTTGGCTCTGTTCTAGAAAAGAGAAGCAAATTTAAAAGTTATGTATGCAGATAGGAATTTCATCCATACAAAAATGACAACTAATTTAAACAAAAATTGGTCTTGTTCTTTTGTGTATGGACAACCCAAGAAGAGTAGAAGGAATATGTTCATGAACAAGTGGAAGACTTTTTCCAGCCTTGTGAAGGGCCCATGGGTTTGTATAGGGTGCAGGCTAAAATTTTTGACAAGGATTAATTTAAAACTCAAGGTCGGGATGGGGAGTATGATCCCTACCTCGAACCCACCCATTGCCATTCCCTGGGGGTCATCCCTTAAACCTATAACACCCCCCAAACCCATAAATATAGGTTCATTAATTATGGTAATTATAAATGTAGTATCCAATACTTATGGAAATTGGAAAGTATTAAAATTTTCCAATTATTTATTTGAAAATTTGGAAGTTTTATAATTTAAGTTTCACTAAATTAACAAAATCGATAATTATTTCTCAAAAATTATAGTAAATATAAAAATTACTGAAATTTTAAAAAATAAATTTATATTTATTGAAATTAACTATCCACTAAAAAATTACTGAATTTTTCAATTATTGTTTGAAAATATCAATAAATTGACCAAAATTACTAAAAATATCAATAACTACTTATTGCTAAAAATTACTGATGATTTTTAATTATTAAATTGGTATTTATTAATAATTTAATTTATTTATTTTTTTAGTAATTAATGATTTCAATAATTATTTTTCAAAAAATTCTGAAATTAAATTACCAAAATCAGTAATTTTCAGCAAATAATTCTTAGTAATGAAAATTTTCAATTTACCAAAATTACGAAAAATTTTAGTTTAGGTGTTGATATTTACCAAATAATATTCAATAATACCAGTAATTATTAAAAATATAAAAAATATTTCACAAATTAATTTAACTCCCCAAATTAATTTACCTACGTTTTTGGTTTTTAGATGGTTTATAATATAGATTAAGAGGTGTCTTAGGAGGAATTTTAGATGGGAGAGATTGTTTAGGAGAAATTTTAAGAGGGGGTTGAGCTGATTGGTAACATGAGAGAGAGAGAGAGAGAGAGGGAGGGAGTTGGAGTGGAACTCTAGTGAAGAAGAGAGGGCTGCCACATGGCAATATAGATTTAGAGGTGTTTTAGGAAGAATTTTAGGTGGGAGAGATTAGGAGAAATTTTAGAAGGGGGTTGGCTAGTGATTGAGAACATAAGAGAGAGATTTGGAGTGGCACTCTAGTGAAGAAGAGAGGGCTGCCATGTGGCTACATGGAAGGGTTAGGAAGGGGTAAAGGAGAAAGGAGAGACGTTTAAGGAGAGAAGAGAGAGGGAGAGGGCTGCTGGTGTGGGACCTAATCACTTTATAATATAGTATAGATACATTTGATTTATGATAATTAATTTACTGCCCTGAGGCACTTTCATACTTAAATACTAAGAACTCATTATTCTCCCAAGGGACTACACAAACAAGGTATCCATCCTCCAAACTCATAACCCTTCGTCCAAGTGCAGAAGTGTTGAGATGCAGGATGAATTTGATCCAAGTCTTCACTACAACTAGCAGAGACCTTACCAACGAATTGGGATTTGCTTTACACATAGCGCTCTTCACACCAACCTCACAATCACATTTGACTATGTATTGGGAACAACTTCCCAACCAGCACGGGAGATTCGAACCTACCTTGAACTGACCCTACCCAATATGTTACAGGGTAGGGTCTGGTTCCAAAATTTTGAAACCGGCCCACACCCAGGCTGGTTCCAGGGTTTAGGGGTTTTACCCTACTTGAATCAACCTTGGYTGGCCTTTGTGGAACTGAGCTTAGTGGAACCAACCTTAGAACCAAACTTGCTTTGAAATAAACCCAAAAATACTTTTAAGGATATAAAGATTTGAACCTAAGCACTTATGGTTACAAAGGTCATGATTTCACTTGATCATTGAGTTACTTAAGTGATTTGATCATTTATTTTTATTTTAATATTGAATGTGTATAATAAATAATGTAAAAGGTAATATTTACAGAATTTAAATTATAATGATAAGTTTTGAATCATATATTAACATATTATGATAATCTACATATTAAAATACTCAATTTAATTAACAAAAAATTATATAAATTTTAAACTATATATTATATTTATTAAAAGTCAAATTTTTAAAGAACATGTCATTTTTTAAGGAGGAGAGTAAAGAAAGAACAAATTTCACGGATAGACCCTAGAATCGACCCTGAAACTAATTTTCGCAGGATAAGTTCCGATTCCAGAAACCTATAACCGATTCTTACAGAATAGATTCCAAGTTCTACCATGGTACCGAACCGACCTATGCTCACCTCTAGTAACAATCAACGCCCAAGGCTTCAACTCTGATTCAACCCTATCCTGACCCAAAATTTTCAAATTGGGTCAGGCTAACCTGGCCCAGGTTGCACCTCTCCAGCAGTTCAGCTACCGCGGTTCGGTCCGATTGCCTGCTTTGAGACGCAGACAGCCAAACACTAGTTTTAAGTGTTTAAACTCTGGAAGGTAGAACCTTCTTCTCTCCAGTATCACAGAAACTCTGAAAGAGTTTACCTCGAGACTAATAAGAACATAACCAACCAACAATCTATACTGCGAAAATCGACCATGATGTGGCGGAGGGCCAACAAGAGACCATAGATGGATTAGGTGCAAAAACTGCTGAGCTCCAAGAGTCCGCTCCATCCTGCTGATGTTACTATCATAAATCTCTGGTATCTCTTCCTCTTGCTCCTACTTTTATTTGGAAGCATTCCTTTAAAGTTTCAGCCATTTCCCAGTTAATAAAATTTATAGAAACCCACATGCTTCTTATCAGGTGTGAGTGGGTTATTACGAGTGAAAAGTGCCATTGATGCTAGCATTCCTCGTAGAGAGGAGTTAGTAATATTTCCACAGTAGCCCATCAGTTCTGCTCGATCACAGTTATCAGTAAATAAAGTAAATTTCCAAATCTGGAAAGTCATGCGTTGTTTGAAAATTCCTACAATATACTGTTATTTGAAGAGTTTTAGGGGTCCCCTGCATTTGGGTTCAACTTCTGCAACTAATGTCTCTTATCCATTGAATTCAATCTGTTTGTCGGTAAATTCTAGAGTTAATTTTTGGACCCAACTCGCTTCTATTTCAAGCCTCAAGGTCGTTTGGCGAAAGGATCGCCATCTAGACCAGGCAATCGAGAATGACAAGGTGTGGCGTCTCAGCGCCAGAGTCGTCAAAGAAGTCCTGAATGAACCCGGGCAGGTTATTCCCCTCCGTTATCTTGAGAAACGTCGAGAAAGAATGCGACTTCAGGTCAATGTCAAGACTTTCCTCAATAGAAACCCCGGGTTGTTCGATATTTACCTTGATCGGATCAAACCAAAGACCGAGCCTGTTCCGTTTCTTCGCCCTAGCAGCAGGCTTCGATGCTTTCTTGAGGAAGAGAAGCAGATAAAGGATGAGAATGAACCGCTCATTGTTGCCAAATTGTGCAAATTGCTCATGATGTCCAGGGACAAAGTGGTCAGTGCTGATAAACTGCTTCATGTGAAGAGAGATTTTGGCTTTTCAGATGATTTCTTGTGCAGTTTGGTCCCCAAGTATCCACATTTGTTTAGGTTGGTTGGGAGCCCAGGAGAGGGCAAGTCATTCTTGGAATTGGTTTCATGGAACACTGAGTATGCTCAATCAGTTATCGAACGGAGAGCAGAAGAGGAGTCTAAGTTAACAGGGATCCGAGTCAGGCCTTCATTTAATGTTAAGCTGCCTCCTGGGTTCTTCCTTAAGAAAGAAATGAGGGAATGGACTAGAGACTGGATGGAGCTTCCCTATATATCTCCTTATGCTGATGTTTCTCACTTGGATCAGGCTTCACCTGAGATGGAGAAAAGGACAGTTGGAGTATTTCATGAGTTGCTTTCATTGTCCATTCTTAAAAGGGTGCCTGTGGCAACACTGGGAAAATTCAGGGAAGAGTATCGATTCTCGAATGCATTTTCTAGTGTTTTCACCAGGCATTCAGGGATATTCTACATGTCTTTGAAAGGTGGAATAGAAACAGCAATCCTTAGGGAAGCCTACCATGAATCAGAACTGATTGACCGAGACCCACTGCTTGCTATAAAAGACAAATTTGTTGAGTTGTTGGCTGAAGGGCACCATGAGAGAGCAGAGCTCTTGAGATTGAGGAAGGAAGCAGTTCAGAGGGACATGGAAATGGTATCTGTAAGGAATTCAGGAGCAGGGCTCAATGAGTGTGATGAAGGTCTTTGAGCATTTATATTCAGGAACAGGAGATAATAATGCTTTTAACAGGGATTTGACAGAGTATGAAAGAATGCAGCATTCCATGTGACAAAAAGTTATAACATAAGTTCATTTTGTTTAATTAAAAATGAAGTTGACATTATGTTTCTCCAACACATCAAGCGATTTTTTTTTTGCACAGTTGCCTACTTTTATATTCAAGATGCTATTTGAGTTGGAGATGATCTTGAGTTTTACCAGATTCATATTGTAGATAAAACATAGACAGTCAACCAAGAGAAATGAAACAATTCTGAAGTTTTAATTGATCTAGTTGCTCCTGTGTGCCTGAAAAGCGAGGCCCAGAAGATTGGTTATTTTGGTGATTATTTGCATTGTGCAGCTGTTAAAAGCCAGCAAACATATCATGGTTTGAAGTTCATGAATATATCTTGAAGAAAATCTATCATATTTGTGAAATTTGAGGTAAGCATTTTTATTTATTTCTTTACTGTCTTCTATTTAATTCTGTATGTAATAACGAATTATGTTTTAGTTTTCTGAATAGAATTTAAGCTTCATATTTAATTCAAAAATGTGCAGAAGGAAAAATCTTCTATAATACTAATTATCATGCTTTTAATCTTGGGGTACACTTTGAAATAAGAGTAAAAGGGTCTTGGTTCAGCTACGGGTCTCTCATATGTGGGAGTGCTTTTAACCATTGGATTGGTGTAAGACAGGATTGGTGTCAAGTCATGGTATGAAATAAATTTTTATTGGATTCAAAAAGTTGATGCCTTTTTTGTTAACTGTGAACATAACCATATGGAATCAGCTACATTAATCCTGTTTCACCATTTTGTTTTGTTCAGTGCCATATCCATCATTAAATTATGGGGTGCTTAAATCACTTCTAATTGCTTCCATCCAAGTCCTTTTTGGTCTATCCCTAACCCTTCTATCCCTTTCAACCTGCAACAGATCACTTTTTCTAACAAGCTCTGTTGATGTTCTTTTGTGCATATGATCAAACCATCTCAATCTTTTTTCCCTCACTTTATCACCTATTGGAGCTGCCCCTAGGTTCCTTTGTATGACTTCATTTCTAAATCTGTCCTTTCTAGTTTTACCACTCATCTATCTGAGCATTCATATTTCTGCCACACACTTGCATCCCATGATATAGGATCTGAGGATCTTGTTACTGGATTAGTTCCAAAATAAAAAAAGAAACCACTTCTTTCTATCTTTTTGTTTTTAGGAAAGGCAAATGTGTATGCTATTTTATATCTGAACGAAAGCTATACATGAGATGCTTAACCCAAGAAAACTTAAAAATGAAAATGAAAGGTTAATATGTTGACCTTGAATCTTCAGAAAAGCTTACATTTTCTTAAAATATTGCCTTCTGGATCCTTCAACCATTGGGCTTGCTTTAGTGGACTTCAATCGTAGCCATAGGTTATGAGTAGTGGACCTGCAAGAAGAGGATGTACTAAAATGCTATGTGGTTTTAGGAAGCATACCAAAAGTTACAAACAGAAAAATTAAGAACTGAACCATTTCAAGTTTAAATTACGTTTCATTTTACTCAACTCCCAAGTGCCACCATGACTAATGCAAGCTAAATATAGTTTGTCTAATAAGACAAAAAACTCCCATCTCGACACAAAAATGTGATTATGTATTTTCAATGTTTTAAAACATGGAGGCAAGATGTGAGGTATTCCACTACCCGGAGTCCACACCCTTTATAGGATCCAAAGGAAATAATACAAAGCCTGGTGCATTTCTCCCTATATGTGTGATTTATGTCTTATAAGTGGAGAATGTACTAATCATCTATTGCTGTCATGCCATTTTGCATCTCAGATTTGGTCTCATTTTCTATCATTATTTGGGATGGTTTGGTTTGTGTGCCTCCCTGTTGTTTGGATGGTATCCTTTTCATTTAAAACCAAAAGAGTGAAGGTAGCATGGCTTTGTATTAGGAATGATATTCTAGGGAGCATATGGGAAGAAAAGGATGCAAGGTTATTTGAAGACAAGGAACAACATCCTAAGAAATTGATAGAGCCAATAAGGGTGAAAGCAGTTTATTGGGTGAAAGTAAAAAAAAGAATCCAAAGGGACTCCAGTAAGTGATACATTGAGGGAGTGGAACATTGTAGTGACAAGTTGACCTATTGTGTGATCATCTTGTTCAGATACATCCCTCAATCAGCACACTCCTTGGAAGATGGGATGGTTAAAATGGGGGGTACATGGTTTAAAGTATCGAGATGATACGCCCCGTATCGGGCGTATCGTATCATATCTTTTGAAAAAGATATGGTCCGAAACGCCCATTTCCAGGTGTTTTGGACCCCCAACTTTTTTTAATAATAAAAAACATGTTTTAAGATTCCCAAAAAGCCAAAATTTGAAAAAAAAACTAAAAAAAAAGGTGTTTTGACCGTTTCTAAGTACCGATACGATACGGCCAATATGCGTATTGTATCGATACTTTGAACCTTGGGGGGATAAGGGAGGAGGGAGTTTTATTAGGGTAAGTTGACCTATTGTTGTTTTTTATGTCATCTAGGCCCCATTCTTTTGTAGGTAAATATGCATGGGAAAGTTGGTCAATGGGTAACATTTTCCCATTGACCAACTTTCCATGTTCTTTTTCATTAAGCAATGGGCCCCAMAGTAAAGTTACCCTTACTTTCTTGGGTAAAACTTACCCATCTCCTAGGTGGGTAAGTAACTTCCCCATCTGGGAGAAATTTTTACAAAACATGATGGGACCATTTTACCCATTTTAATAGTTACGTTTTTTTGGGGAAGATGTTATATATATATATATATCGATAGTTATCGATAGAAAAAAAGGATTTTTTCCATTTCCTCTGGCAACAATCTCTCTCTTAGGGTAATTCTAACTGGATTTTGGATTCCATTTCTTCAAGATGAGATTTTTTAATCTTTTTTGATAATTGAAAATGATTTCATTAAACAAGAGAAATAAGATTTTACAAGAATCCCTTGGAGAGGCACGAGATGCAGCCTCCCCTAAACATTACAAGAGATCAGAAATAAAATTACAATGCTGCCCAGAATAAATGGTCCCTAGGAGACCCCTGTTTAGCAAGATGATCAGCCAAGGCATTTGCCTCCCTACCCACCCATTGATATCTACATGTTACGTGCTTTGTTAAACATTTAACTTTTTTGATGAGATCCCTATAACTCCAAAAAACTGAGTTTGGATTTGATAGCCAGCCCATAATCACCTTAGAATCCCCTTCCATCAATAGGTTCTCCACTCCTAGTTGATTAGCAATCTGAATTCCCTGTATTGCAGCCAATATCTCAGCTCTTGTAGAGTCCCCTATCCCTATCGGGCCTGAGAATAAGGATATGATGTTACCATTCTCATTCCTCAATACTCCTCTAATGCTAGACGGTCTTGGGTTATCTTGGCTGCTTCTGTCAAAATTCAGTTTAAAAAATCCTTCTGGGGGAGTTACCCAAACTGTAGTTGCTCTAGTTTTTCTAACCGAAGTGTGTGCAACTGTGGCCCAATTCCTCTAGATGTCATAAAATGAAAAATATCTGAAAGAAGCCAAGGATTTCAGCCAATGGATAGCCTTGGTTAAGATACATTCCTCCATTTTTGTAAAGGACCTCTCTATCTTGGAAAATTCTAGCGTTTCTTTCTTCTCAAATTGTCCATAGGGTGACTGCTCTGAAACATCTCCACATACTCCTCCCTCTTTTTGTTAGGCAAGCAAAGGTAGTTGGTGAGAATGATGATTTTACCTCTGCTGGTTGATTCCACCTACATTCAAACAAAACAAACATCTAGTCTCAAAGAGCTGCAACAAAGGAACAAGAAACCAATAAGTGGTAACAGTCCTCACAATGAGAATTGCACAGTACACACCAATTTGGGGATAAACAAATGAAAGGCTTTTTCTTTTGAAAGTTCTCTAAAGTATTAATCTTACCAAGGTACACTTCCCAATAGAAAACAACAATTTGGGGGGCACGAGCTTTGTCCAAACTTCTTTCACTGGGAAAGGCTCAAAAGAAGTACTCAAACAAAGGGATTTGAAGAAGGATGCACAAGTGAAAGAACATTTTGGGATAGGAGTCCACACTCTTTTATTAGGAGAAGAGGGGTCCAAGCTAACACTCTCTAGAATGGATAGAAGTTCAGTAACGCAAGCAAGCTCCTCCTCCCTTAAGCCCCTACAAAAACAGAAGTCCCAGTTTAAGGATAAAGGTAAAACTGGAGGGGGAAGAAAGACAGAAATAACCTCTTTTTTATAAAGGGAAAGGGCATACAAAGAAGGAAATAGGTCTTTTAGAGGTTGATTACCCACCCAAGTGTCTTCCCAATAAAGAACCAAATTTCCGAAGCAAGTGTCATACCTTACAAATTGAAGGAAATTGGGGAGGACGCCATGTATTGCCTTCCATGGTGTTGTTTGGGTAGCCTGATGAGATACCCCAACATCCCAACTAGAGACAAAACAACCATGAATACTAAGCACAGCCTTGTGCCACAAACTTTCTCTTTCTAGAGGCCATCTCCATAGCCACTTTCTCAATAAAGCTTCATTTTTTAGGACCAAATTCCCTAATCCCAGACCCCCTACCTCTTTACTCCAATAAACTGTCTCCCAATTAACTAAGTGATCCTTTTTTCTCCTCCCTTGCCAAAGAAAATCTCTCATCAATTTTTCTAATTTCCTAGCCTCCCTATGGGGGATCCTAAACATAGAGAGATAATAGAYTGGTAAATTGGCAAGTGTAGCCTTAATCAAAGTTACCCTTCCTCCCATAGTGATATAATTCTTTTTCTAAGCTGCCAACTTTCTTTCAAATTTCTCAACAATTGGGTACCAAAATCTGCTTTCCCTAGGATTCCCACCCAAAGGTAAACCCAAATAAGTCAAGGGCCAAGACGAAATAGAGCAGTCCAAAGAGTTTGCAATAGACTCAACTTCATTGTCAGCCAGATTGACCCCTACTACACAACATTTTTCAAAGTTGATCTTTGGATTGGAAACTCTCTCAAAGCATAATATTAGATCCTTAAGATTTTCCACTCTTCTTGGCTCGCTTCCCTCACAAAAAATGATAATATTATCTACAAACTAGAGATGAGTTACAGAAACATTATTCCTTCCGATCTTCCAACCATCTATTACCCCCTCCCTATCTGCTTTTGATATCAATCTACTCAGCACATCCGCCACTGCTTGTCTATTTTCGTGAAAAGTTCACAAGCTTTTTGGGTCACCAATTCTGAGTTGCCAGCTAAAGCCCTGATCTCCACCAGCTCATCTTCTTCCTGGCAAGCTTCCTTCCACAGATTATCTTCAATGAAGGAAGCCAGCCATACTGGAATGAATAAACCTTTGACCCTAACCAACACTTTTCTTGGAATGTCCTCAGGCCTTACTCCACTCAGATGGATGGCAGCTGATTGAAGATCATCCCAGAACTCCC